GGCAGCATGCTTCTTTGGCGTTTACATCCTCAGTGTGGAAATCTTCTCTAGGCCATTTACTTACCAGAAAAATGAATACAATCATACAATTATAGTAGAGAATCTAAGCATTTGGGTCCATTTAAGTATTTGAGTTACTGCACCTGGGTGGGGAGTTCTTGCTAGATTAGCCAGAAGCAATAAAGAGCACTATGTTTCAGAAATGGAAGTCCAGGAGCTATTTGAATTAGCTCATGGGCCTAGAGCTGGACCTCGGATTTGCCGGCAGCTCCAGGATAAACACCACTTGGTCATGGAAACCTGGTGCTACTTTAAAATAGTTTTGCTACAGAGAAATAAAATCCCGGTGTAATTTTAAAAAGGCAGGCAGGAACGATGTGAAAATGTTGTTTGCACATACAGTTATCTCTTGTAGGATACCTGTGGTTCATTGAGCATACTTTGCTCTCTACTTACATCTTGAGGTCAAAATTGGAACTGCAGAGGGGAAATTCATGACAACAATACCGGTATGTTGAACTTTAGACATTTTTTTTTTTCATTTTGGTGAAAATCCACAAATAAAAGTTATTTGCCTGTCAACAGTATTACCATATTACCAGAATATATGCATCAATACATTTCTTAATAACATGTTTTCACAATATAGTATTTGTTTTATGCCAGGAGAAAAATGTTTTAAGATTTCATCATTTTCAATTAATACATTAATTTATATCAACATGAACATATTCATCAGCTCTTTATAGAAAACATTGGAAAATGTACATTATTTCCTGACCTGGAAGGGCCTTACAATCTAGTTTCCCTCCCACTAACCAGTATATATATATATATATATAATGTATTTTTTTAGTCCTAACAATAATACACATATACTGCATATACTGCTTTTCTATGGCTGCAGTCACTCTAGGCATCTAGGTGCATTCAAAATTATTTAAAGTGGCCAAAGATGTATTTTTTTTACACTGAAACGTCATCTTGGATAACCATTCATTATTAGATGTCCGGTGGCCAGAACAGATACCTGTGGGTGGACCAACTGTTCTTGCACATTGGAAAGCCATCTACTGTCTATGCCAATTCAAGTATTTCTAGAGCTAAAAGTTTTTGTTTGTTTTGGTTAGCAAAGGGAATGCAGCTTTCACACATGCGCCTATCCGCTGTAATCAGCAGGGGACATGTGCACGAATCCCGTGCTGATCTGAACAGTACAGAGCGAATATCACCAGCTAACCAGACTCATGTTAGGTCTAGGTGGAGTTAGGTGTAAGTGGACACGTGTCCGTTTACATCAGATTGCCCCCAATTCTGTTCCATTTTGTTTCTGGACCTGGACAGAATAGGGGGTGTCTGTTTAGATCTGGCTGCCGATAGACTAACATTGGGTTTCCAGAACTGCCCATCTGAAAGTGGCCTTAGAACCCCATTCACGTTTTTACTGCTGTCTGTGCCCTCAATGGGATGATTCCCCTTTCCTATTTGTCCTGGTGACCAGTTGTCTCAGCAACAGAAATAGAGGAGAAATAGTCCCAGGGGAACACTTACACGCGTTTATCGAGAAATCTCCTGCTGTTTATATTGTTTTCTGACAGTGGCCAGAATAACAGAACAAAACTATAGCCGATTGGCTGCTAGTTCCGTTCGTTCAAGATTTTGTTTTCACCTGCTCCTTCAATCAGATGATCAACGGATGGCGGGCAGAAGGGTGCTGACAGCGGCACCCACACAGCTAGTTTTGGCTGGTTCATCAAGAAGCAAACAAAGTTCACTGTGCATACAGCCTACTTTAGGAATAGCATGTGCAAAGTCATGGAAATAGCCAGTAGGATGACACTAAGATGCTTGTGGAGCTGAACAAGCACATAATAACCAGAGGTAAAAAAGATGTTAAAACAACTAATTAAGAGAAATGGAGACAGTTCTCATTGTTTGTTCTCAACATTCAGAAGTGTTGGTTACACTGATCAACAAGCTTCTTAGCCATGTTAACTAGGCTAGAGAGTGTCAGTGGGAGGTCAGGATTCTGACACCTCTAGAAATACTGAGTAAATACTGAGTATCTACCGAGTATCTGGTGTGAATCTGAAGTCAGCTCAGGAGCAGTCAGAATCACAAACACAAGTGACATGCTAACAGCTGTTCCACAAAGACACAATTGGGACATTAATTAGCATTGCTCTTTGCAAACAGCCAGATTAACACCTCTTTTTATTTTAATGAAATCCGTCTGCTAAAAAACAGTTAATCCCATCAACATCAGTTTCAACACTTTTTTTTGAGTTATCATAAAGTAAAACATTTTACACAAGGAAAATTGTATCAATACTTACCATAATTTTCCTTTCCTGGTGCCCTTCCATGGCAGCTTATTTTATGGGTATGCTGCCATATAGGCACCAGGAAAAGTGATTTATCATAAGGCTTTTCATGTAAAAATAGTTGAGGCGTTTTAGGACTGCTGATGATGTTGTGCTTGTTATTTAGAAAATAAACCTCCCAGTTTTTGGAATATACTGTGTGGATCCACCGTTCTTTTGCTTTATATTGGACTTAGCCACAAAGCAAGGCTCATGTGTCAGAGACCTGAAGGTAGATATGGGTTGGATCTGCTAACAGCAGTAGATAATTCCCCACTTTAAACATCCTTTTATGAAGGTAAGCAGCAAATATATAGTATATGGAATAAAGAGTAAAGCTTGCCATACACTAGTAGATTTCCGAACGGAAGATCTTTCTTTACCACCCGATAACGCCATCACACACTGGAATGTCGATCAAAATTTTGTTTAATTTCAATGTTCCATTTTGGACTTTCCTGAAACAAAAACCACATTCACTGTTAAAAATGTTTTTGCTCAAGAAAACGTTTCCATCCCGCTCTTTCGAGAGAAATCGAGCGATTGTTGATTTGACCCCATCAACTAATAGAAAGTCGAACAAATGTTCTTTCGTACGAAAGTTCTTTTGAAAATCTAAGCAGTGTATAGCCAACTTAAGGTGTCAGCCTTAATTTATTGAATATAGCACAGTGTACATTTTAAAATAAGGTAAAACCATGCAAATCATTCCTTTCTACTCCTGGAGCCAACTGTACATCCAGAACTGCTGGTTTATAGCACATATACAGCTTAGTTTAGTTTGTTTCAAGCTTCAAACCACATACAGCTGTTTCTGACTTGTTTACCCTCAACAGTGCAGTGTTACCTTCTATAAGTACTGTACTAAATTTATAATAAAGCTTTGGGACAGACTACATTCAAGCTCTCAAGCTGGTGATAGATCTTTTTCATTAAAATGGAGAAACATTAGAACTAGGCCATAAAACTCAACCCGACTAACTACTCCCCCAAGAATGATCAGGCAGGGGTATCTGCTGGAACCTATAGACATATTGAACAGATGGACAATTGCCATATGTTTATAGTTACAGGCACCTGGCTGGATTCACATTGAGAATGAGAACACATGATCAGCAGCTAACGAAGAAGTGTTATTGAATTGGATATACAGTATATCTAATTATTTAGCATGCACCAAATGAGCAGATAAAACACAAAAGCTTCCGTTTTACTTTCAGGCCAATGTAAACCCCTGATACATATTTTTCTTTTCTTTTACAAGCTGCTTCTCTGGGTATGACATGTAAATATGGTTAGGATTTCTCCTTTGCATGATATTAACGATAAGTTTGTACGCAGACCGGTATGAAATTTTGGGAAATATGGAAGTACATATTGTTTTGTTCTTGTCTTGTATATGTATATCCAGTACCTTTTTTCTCATTGTT